TTGGTCCCGATCACAGTGGCGTCGGAAGAGGGGGTGTAATAATAGGACCTGATTACTAAGTTTATTTTTCGGGCGTAAACCCTTGCAGAGACCCTTGCACTTCCCCCACCCCCGGAGCTCGTCCACCGACACTCCCACCCCCTCACCTTGGATCAATTAGAGAAAATATATAATTTATATGGAAAATATATACTATAACAAGTGTCCATCGCTGGTAGATTTTATTACCCCCCCCCCCTCCGCTCCCAAGTTTCAAGTGCACCCCCCACCCTCGTGTGGGTTAAAATGTCTAAAAGAAACAGTATACATATCCTTCATAAAAATTTCCAGCCCGTGACTCATTTCACGTGACGGTAGAGAAAATATGTTATTTTACTAAATTTATTCCCAGTAGAGCAGTGGCATAAGATCCTCTTACCGATTTGAATTACATTTAGATTTTTTATATTTTAATACGGCGGAGAAGAGATAAACGATAATCTTTCTATCGTTGATATTTGGTAGTTTCTGTTTCGGAGTACCTCATTTTGGGTGTGTCTTCATTTGCAGATTTTATATGCAACCCCAGTGATAAGAGACGTAAACATAGGGATACTTACGCTGAAAATATAGATACAGATTAGTAGGCATTTAGTGAAATCCTGTCTCATCAAATATATATATATATATATATATATATATATAATTATATATATATATATATATATATATATATATATATATATATATATATATATATATATATATATATATATATATATATATATATATATATATATATATATGCTACTATAGAAACTTTAAATTCACAAACGCTTAGTCTACACAACGTAACACAATAAAAAAAAAGTAGACTAAGGCTAAGTAACAAGGTTGATGACGTCACTGTTGGCGTTTAGCGACTAACTTTGTTATATATATATATATATATATATATATATATATATATATATATATATATATATATATATATATATATATATAAAGCACAACAGCTGCATACCCGTGCTCCGCCACGGTAAATCTGTTTTAAATGTACTAACTTGGGAACAGAACAAACTAAACACAACACAAACACAACACAAACACAACACAACACAACACAACACAAACACAACACAAACACAACCACAACACAACACAAACACAATACAAACACAAAAGAAAACACAAACATAAAAGCTGCATACCCGTGCTCCGCCACGGTAAATCGTTTTGAAATATACCAACTTGTGAATAGAACAAAACTAAACACAACACAAACACAAACACAACACAAACAAAACACAAACACAACCACAACACAAACACAACACAAACCCAAAAGAAAACACAAACACAAAAGAAAATACAAACACAAAAGAAAGCACAACAGCTGCTTACCCTTGCTCCGCCACGGTAAATCTGTTTTAAATGTACTAACTTGGGAACAGAACAAACTAAACACAACACAAACACAACACAAACACAACACAAACACAACACAAACACAACACAAACACAACACAACACAACACAACACAAACACAACACAAACACAACACAAACACAACACAAACGAAAACACAAACACAAAAGTGTCAAAAGCTGCTTACCCGTGCTCCGCCACGGTAAATCTTTTTTAATTGTACCAACTTGGGACTAGAACAAAACTAAACACAACACAAACACAACACAAACACAACACAACACAACACAACACAAACATGACACAAACACAACACAACACAAACAAAACACAAACACAACACAAACATAAAACAAACCCAAAAGAAAACACAAACACAAAAGAAAAAACAAACGCAACACAAACACAAAAGAAAACACAAATATAACACAAACACAAAAGAAAACACAAATACAATGCAAACACAAAGGAAAACGAAAACACAAACGCAACACAAAAACACAAAAGAAAACACAAATGCAAACGCAAAAAAAAAGCTCAAACGAAAAAACAAACACTACACTCATAACAAAATAAAACTTAAATTAAATGCAAACATAAACGCATAGTGCTCACAATCTAGCCCGTGACGCCAAATAGCACCTTGTCCGACCGCCAGCGGACGCGCCTGATTCAGTGAATGACTATAAAAATCCCATTAAAAATTATCATTAGTAAACAGCACATTCAGTGAATAAAATAAATAAAAGATAGCCTTTTACCAATCCATGCTAATTATAATATTCCAACAATAATGACCTCTTACACGTCTGCAGAATTTGCATTCACATTTTGCTAATCATATTATTCCAACAAAAATTCCCTCTTGGAGATTTTGCATTTCACATTTTTACTTTCTCGTATATACGAAGTATAGAGAAAGTATTGTAATCGTGCAAAAAAAAAAATCGAGATTTTTTCAAATCTCGACGTTTTATACCTCACTGATACGGAAAAACATAATTTTGCAATCTTGTCTGTATGTCTGTGTGTCTGTCTGTGTGTAAACATGATTACTTGAGTATCGTTACAGCTAGGTTGTTGAAATTTCAT